TTGCTCTTACCCTCCAGGTTGCCTGTCCCTACAAATCCGGGAAGACAGATTCAGCTAAGTCCCGGTTTGAAGTCAGAGCTCGCCTAGGAAAAGCTCTCAACTGGACATCACTAAGCCAGCTTCCAGCCTTCCTCTTCTAGCCCCCCACTCAACCAGTCAATTTTCTTCTACCTTCCTTCCCACCCCCATTCCATCCTTCTTTCATGTTGAGACAAAGTCTCATGTAGCTCAAGCTGGCCTTGAGCTCCCCAGGAAGCTATTGATGGAGTCTTAATCATCCTTTCTCCTCCCTAGAGCAGAGCTTAGAAGTTTGTGCCACCACTCCTGGCTTATGTGGTGCTAGGAATGGAACTCGGGGCCTCACACAAGCTAGGCAAGGGCTCTCTACTAACTGAGCTACATCCGTAACTCCCTAGCATGGGCATTCTCTGCAAAGCAAAGGGCTCAGAAAAAGAAGCCAGACCCAGAGCCCCTCGGAAGCAGACTGTGGCTTCTCACAAGTTGTACCCAGCCTGCTTGCTGGCTTTGTAATTTGAGTGTATCTGCTGCCCTTGATAGGTTTGGTATAGGCAGAGCAGTGTCTGTCTGATGGAGAGTGAGAAGTTCACTACAGACAAAGTCTCAGACCCTACTCTCTGCCTATTGAAAAGAAGCCCCTAGGACATGGACCCCTGGATTCCGCATCCACATAGACCCTGCAAGGGAGTATGATAATAAGGTCTAGGGAGGTGAGTGGGAACAGCACTAAGAGCCCTCGCCCAAAGGTAACAAGTTCCAGAGTCATTTTAAACCCTGATGGTCACTGGGTGACTGCCAGCAAGTCTCAAAGGGACAAAGAAGGGCAGGTGCCTCACAGGGTTATTGCCAATACTAAGAGGGTCAGGCACATGTGCTACCCTTAAAACACATCACATAGGGACCCAAGAAAATGGCTGCTAAGTTAAAGTGCCTGCTGCACAGGACTTGCTAGCATTTGCCTATAATCCTGGTGCTGGAGAGGCTGAGAAAAGATGGTCACTGGGGCTTGCTGGTCAACCCGTGTAGCCAAAATGGCAGGCTCCAGGTTCAGTGAGAGACTGTGTCTCAAAAAAACGAGGCAGAGAAGTGACTGAGGAAGATATCAGACATGGGTCCCCAGCTTCCACATGTATGTTCCACACATATTCAGTCACATCATAATAAATAAGTAAACAAATAAACAAATAGTACCACATAGAATTTTTATAATTGCCATGAAGGGGTGTGACCATAGCCTATATCATGTCCCTAATGGAAACTGCTACTAAAATGACCTATGTCCCTGCATGTAGTTTGAGAGGGGGCATGCTCTGGCTATTTGGGGGGGTGTCTTATGAGTGTGTTTCTGTAGGTATCTATGCAGAAAAATAATTCCAATGCCCCTACTCTTCTTTTCTAGCCAGGCTGGCCCAATACTTCTCATCCTCCTGCCTCACCTCCAGAGTACTGAGCCCACACTCTTCTAGAAATGAACTGAGGGATTTAATCTTGTTCTACTCATTTCGTCTTGAGGTCTCTGGGAGAAGAGCTTCCACACGACCTGGGTGGGCTGCCCTGATGGTCTGGTCTCATTACCTGCAAAAGGTACAATTAGGGCCACAGCTTCATACCAAAGGCACAAGTTCAAAGCCCCCTGGATACTTACTTAAGAAGACTATGACATTTTTTCAGGAGTGTAGGAGGCTGCCCGCATCCCTCACCTGGGATTATCTGGAAGGGATCACCAAAAGGGCGAGAAGAAAGTTGTCTTTCCCGGTCCTCTGCCACCAGCCTCATGCTGGCCTGTGACTCTCACCAGTGAAGTCAGGTTAAGTTTGGTCCCCAACCCACGTTTACATGGATCTATCTATGTAATCCATTTATCAAAAAACCTTATATACTTTAAAAGTCAGAGTCTGGGGCCAGGGAGATGGCTTAGTGGGTAAAGGCTATCAAGCCTGGGGACCTAGGAGCATCCAGGACCCCGTGGTAGAAGAAGAGACAGTTCTCTCCAGTGAGTTGTTCTCTAACCTCCCTGTGTGGTCTGTGGTATGTGTGTACCCTCCCCAAATACACCACACACACACACACACACACACACACACACACACACACACACACTTTCTAAAAAAGCTGGACATGGTAACATGTACTTGTAATCCCAGAGCTAGAGAATAGAACCAGCTGGATCCCTGGGCATGCTGGTCAGCCAGCCTCACTCTGTTAGCACCAGGTCAGTGAGAGACCCTGTCTCAAAATACCAAGGTAAATGAACCTGAAGAAAGACATTCAAGGTTGACCCCTGCCCTCTACGCGCACGCGCACACACACACCTGCACACAGACACATGAAAAGAAATCTGTGCCTTGTAGCCAAAAACATGGGCTCTGTGGTCAACCAACCTCTAAAGTACTACTTACTAACATCAGTACACAGGCAGCTTGGTTAACCTTCCCCAGTCTGGTTGGCTGGGTTCTACTGTGGGGAAGGGGCCGGAACCTCCTCGGACTAATGGTAATGTCCTGCCATTACACGTGCGGATTTGTAATGTCTCTCTAGGACACAGCCAAGACTTATTACCAGTCATTACAACAGCTGACAGTTCCGGGCCATTGGAACACGCAAAAGATTGGGAAGGGAAGAGAGTCAGACTTGTGTACTCGCAACCTCTTCTTTATACTTGATAGGCTACGGGACACTGTGAAGACAGCAAGTGTCCAGGGACCATCAGTCCCTTGGGCCTCGTGGAAACAGTAAATTAGCTCCCCCAACCCTGCTCTTTGATGGTAACTCATTTAGAATGTTGTAGATGGGACAGGTTCTGAAAAATGCTACAAACCGAGATGCCTCCTTGTTTGGCTGAACTTTGTGAATGAACGCCTGCTTCCCAGACTTGCTGAGGACTTGAACCTCCCTTGCTGCTTGGTTCAGAATATCAACCCGCACCCAGGCAGAGGGCAGGGAAAAGTCTGCATTCTTAGTGATTCATTCAACCTAAAGGAATCATGTATTCATTCAAGCCTTCACTTTGCAAGCCATGGCACCAGCTTTCCCATCAAACACCATGCACTGACAGCTATTTCTTTTCTAGACGTCCCCAGCCCGCAGTCTGTCCTGCCTAAGCTAGAGTCACAAGCAGAAGAGACCAAACTTCCAGCTTGTGCACATCATGGGAAAGAAGCAGGTAGTGGTTTCTACAATCATACCAGACACGGAGCCAGAACGAAAGTGAGAAATCAGACGCGTTCAGATGTCAGCTTAGAGTACACAGCACAGAGAGCCAGGGAGATCACCCTGTGCCCCCGCACGCACCACGACCCACGGGCGTCAGGGCACGTCCTTACCATTAAGCTGCCGGTAGACGATGTCCTCCAGCAGCGACAGGCGCTTCAGGACCGCATCCTGGATGGGGCTGGCGCTGTGCGCGCTGAGGTTAGCCACCTCTGCGTGAGGCCGGATCTCGTGGAAGGCGTCTCCGCTGCGCACCGCGATAGGCCGGCACTTAGCCAAAAATATCACGAAGCCGGCCACCGCGATCAAGTTCAACACCAACAACACTTTGACTCTCCTCAGTGAAGCCATCAAACAACACGGCCGGTCCTTTCCCTGGACCCACGCCTCCACCAGCCTCACCTGCGAGGCGCAGGGCAGCCTGAGACCGTGCAGACCCCTCACACCGGACAATGGCCAGGGGGTGGGGAGGAATCCCAGCTGCTGCCGGCCACAGAACGCCGATGCTCAGGCGACAGAGACACGGCTATTGGGGACCAAGCGTGGATCACATGGAAAGCCCCTGGCTTGCAAAAGTGTCCCTGAAATGCCTGCTCCGTCCACAGCACGCAGTCCCTTCTAACAGGCAGCAAAAGATAAAGGTCCCAGGGTCTCTCCTCGCTGCACCCAGAACAGGTTGCCTTTGGACTTTGGACCTCTAGAGACGGTGGACCTTCAGGGACAACCCGGTGGTAGTCTGGATGCTCCGGAGATGTGGCGGGAGTGGCGCGCAGGTGCCCGGCTCCTGCTCTGCGCCCGCCGGCGGAAGAGCGCGCCACTCCTGGAGTTGCACGGCCAACACTCTCGCCCGCAGGCGGCCGTCTCCCGGCGAGGACAGCGTTCTTCAGCGGAGAACCGGCTCCTCCGGGCGGGTGTCTTTGTTCAGCTCACCGGCCCTCTCCATCACTCCGGGAGGAGGAAAAGCCCGTTCCCGGTGCCCGCATCCTCCGGGCTCCGCAGTCACGCTCAAATCTCAATGACTCTCTCAAAGTGGGGGGGACAGCAGGAAAGGGGCGGGAGCAGGGATCCAGCGCTACGTCCTCTCCGCCCCCACCCCGCCCGCAAAACTCACCAGTGCGCACAGCGCCACGGGTTCCCGGACACGTTCCAAGTCCCTACAGGAGCCTCCAGGCCTGCCGGACACACTGGCCTGTCTCAAGAGGTGGCGTGTTGCGAGGCTGGCCGGAAGGAGGAGTCGGACCTCCAAAGTCACACCAGTTTTCTACACGCTTCTCTAAACGTCGCGGGGGAGGGATGCGCGCTGGTGCCTCCGCCGCCTGTCACCACGGCCCGTGCAGCTCGTCCCAAGCCCCCAGGGGAACCAAGATCCGAGCGTCCCGATCACCGGGCGCAATGACACCGCGGCTGCGACACTGAGAGTACACACGGTCCCCTAGGGGATGGTAGGATAGACCGGAGCAGCTAGGAAAACAGGAGGGGATGCTCAGGTAGCGACGGAAGGCGGGGCGCGGTCCCGAGGGGAGCGGCTGCAGCGCCGACTCCTCCTCCGCGGTCCCTTGGCCACCCTCTTCCCCGAGAGACAGTCGCCACCGCCGCTGCCACCCGCAGGCTGCGGAGCGCACCGCTAGGGGAAGCTGGCCCGCTCTTGCGCGCGCACCCTGAATGGGTGGGGGCGTCTGGAGAGAGTGGGGAGCGCGCGGGACCCGGGAGCAGTCAAGTCATGTTGGCTGCTAAAGGCTGCGAGGGACCCTTGGGGTTCTCAGCGCTCTCTAAGCGGGCGGGTTTGTTCCATCCCGGCAGACAAGGCAGACGTCCCTTTCTCTTGGCTAAGCCGCTGTGCATAGCTTGGCCCGGAATGGCTAGAGGGAAAATCTGGCCTGGAGACTCGGATTCCGCTACTTTCGGAGCCAGGCCTTGTGTCCTTCTTGCCAGGGCCCTGGGAGACTTCTGACCATCTGAGTTGCTGCTTCTGTGCTTACCCACACTTCCGTAAACATCTTAGTAGTAACACACGGATTTATGACCCTGCGGGGTCTCCACAACCTCCTCCTCCGTTTCCCTAGATACAGCAGTGCCAAAGATCTGCCCTCTGAATCTTCGATTTCTTAGGCCAGAGAAAGAAACCAGACTGCTGACAGATAAGAGTCAGCTGAGTGAATTCAGGGGCTTCCACTTCATCTTACTAGCCCACTAAAGTTTGTTGTTGATCATGGGTTGGTTTTGTTTGGTTGGTTTGGGTTTTAGGCTTCTTATTGGGGCAGAGCAAGGGCGAGTGGGCAGGTTTGGGGTTTAGGGTCAGGATGGAGTTCGGTGGTTGAAGTTGAGTGATTGCCTAGCTCTTCCCAAACCAGGCTTGCTGGTGGCAAACCTATGATCCCGCACTCGGGAGGTGGAGGCAGGAGGACCAGAAGTTTAAGACATCCTTGGCTACAAAGTAAGTTCCAGGTTAGCTTGTTGTTTTTGTTTGTTTGTTTTTTTAAGGGGAGAGGGGCTATTTTTATTTTTGGTTTGTTTAGACTTTGTTGGGATTTGGGTGTTCTTTTGGCTGTTCAGTCTCACGTAGCCTGGGCTGGGCCCTAACTCCTGATTCTTGACCCTCTTGACTTGACCTCCTAAGTCCTGGGATGGTCATAGTCGCCAAGCCTGGCTCTCCATTTCAATACAGGATTTTTTTTTTTTTTTTTTGGTTTTGTTTGTTTGTGTGTTTGGGGGAGGGGATGTTTTTCCCTGTTGTTGCTTGTTATTTTGAATAATAACAGCAAGCGCCTTTATGATTTTTTCACACTGAGGAAAAAAAAATACATGGAAAGTCAGGCTTGGTGGTGTGGGTATCATCTGCTGCTCGGAAATCTGAGACCGGAGGATCTTTCATTCAAGGCCAGGCTGGGCAATTTGGCAAGGGCCTTACCTTAAAATAAAAAATAAAGGGGAAAAAAAAATACAGGGATATAGCTCACTGATACAGTGCTTGCTGAACATATGTGGGATCCTCCATTTAATCCCCAAGGAACGAGGGAGGGAGGGAAGGAACACGAAAAACTACAACAATCTTTATTTCTTTTTAAAAATATTGTATTCTTTTCTTTTCATTGCATTGTTAAGGTGTGTGTGTGTGTGTGTGTGTGTGTGTGTGTGTGTGTGTGTGTGTGTAGGCCCATAGAGACCAGAAGAGGGCATTTGATTCTTTGAACTAGAGTTACAGGCATTTGTAAGTCACTGATGGTGCTTGGATCCTGCGGTGGAATAGCCCCCATAGACTCACGGGGTTGAATGCTCGGCACATAGGGAGGGGCACTATTAGGAGGTGTGGCATTGTTGGAGTAGGTGTGGCCTTGTTCAAAGAAGTGTGCCACTGCGGGGGAGGGCTTTGAAGTCTCAGAAGCTCAAGTCTTGCCAGAGTGTCTCAATATCCTCTTGCTGCCTTCATTCAGATCAAGATGTAGGGCTCTCGGCTACCTCTCTAGCACAGTGTTCCACCATGATGATAATGGACTACACCTCTGAAACAGTAAGGCAGCCCCAATGAAATGTTTTCCTTTATAAGCGTTGCCATGGTCATGGTGTCTCTTCCCAGCAATATAAACCCTAACTAAGACAGATTCCAATTCTACTTCTCATGATAGAGCATTAAGACATCTCTCTAGTTCCATTTCCTTCCTTTAAAAAAAATACTTAGTTGTGTATGTGTGTGGGTATGTATTTGTGCCATAGCCCGCAGGTGGAGGTCAGAGGACAACTTGCAGAAGTCAGTTTTCTGCGGGTCTCAGGAACTGAACTCAAGTAGTCAGGCTGGGCAGCAAGCGCCTTTACCTCCCTGAGCCAACTTACTGGCTCCCACTTGCGGTTTTCATTTCTTTGGAGCCTACTCAACAAGATCCTTAGGGTATTGAATTTTTATAATCTGCAGCGAGCTGAGTCCAAAAATAAAAAACAGTTTAATAAAAAGCCATATCAGAAAGCATGGAGGAAGCACTTTTAAACATCTGTGAGATAAGAGGGACGTCGGGTTCCAGGAAGCCCTGGCTTCGGTGGCATTGGGATCCTCAGGGACCAGGTTGTTGAGGCCAGGTCTCTACAAATGTTCGCTGAAGACCCAGGCCAGCCAGTGTCAGAGACACAGCAGAGAGCAGCTGGTGGAAAGGCTGGAAGATGTGATGTCCTTGCTCAATCCCAAATTTGTGAGTCACCCCCACCCCCCACCCCCAATTATACAGGACAACTTAGGCAGAGGACAGTGCAGTTTACTTATTCTACCAAAGGTTTACATGACATGGGAGCCTTTAGGCATTGAGAGGCCAGGGAAATTTGGTTTGGTTAGGTTAGATTTGGGTTTGGGTTTGATTTTTGAGCTCAATCTCACTATGTAGCCCTGACTGGCCTAAAAATGGTGATCCTCCTGCCTCGGCCCATGCCCAGATTGTGAACTGTTTATTTTTATGCAATGAAGAATGGATAGCCATGTAGAAAAGCAATGGGACCAAAATGGCCTGCCCTGAAGATAATAGATGGAGGGGGTGAGCACTCATGTGGTGCTCTACCACTGAGTCACACCCCCAGCCCCTCACTGGGAGATTCTAGGCAGGTGCTCTATCACTGAGTCACACCCCAGCCCCTCACTGGGGGATTCTAGGCAAGTGATCTACCACTGAGTCACACCCCCAGCCCCTCACTGGGGGATTCTAGGCAGGTGCTCTACCACTGAGCCACCCCCCAGCCCCTCACTGGGAGATTCTAGGCAGGTGCTCTACCACTGAGCCACACCCCCAGCCCCTCACTGGGGGATTCTAGGCAAGTGATCTACCACTGAGCTACATTCCCAGCACAGGATGGGGTTTTAACTGCAGGGTTGCAAAACCTGAGCATGTCTGCATGAAAATGTAGTTCTTGGTGTGTCCATGATCATGGGCCAATCCTTGAGATTAGAATGTCAATGGTCTTTTATGAACACAGATGTGGAAGCTGGAGAGAGAAAAATCTATATCATGAAGCTACCAGCTCATCTAGGCCAGAGGGGCACATGAACTCTCTGGCTAGATAAGGTGAAAATCTAACCCTCCGAAGTTGAAACTTGCCTGTAAACTTCTCCATTACTTAAATTCTGTTGCCCCGTTTTTTAAATTTGTTTCCCCAGTCTGGAAATATGAACGTAGAGTTGGGTGTCATACCCACCTGGGTTTATAGCCATGTACTGATAGAAAAATGAAATGTACCACATAGGCTTTGCATTTGAGAATCTGGTTCCAAGTTGGTGGTGCTGTTTGGGAGGAAGTTATAGACCCCCTCAGTACGTGCAGCCTTGCCAGAGGAAGTACGTCACTGGGTGTACCAGGTTTTTTCTTTTGGGCCACCAACCAGCTCCCAAATCATGACATGGAGACTTAGTATTAGTTTTGAATATTCGGCCTTAGCTTAGCTCTTATTTTAATCTGTTTCTCTTTATCTACCTTTTGCCTTGGAGATTTTTACTTTCTTTGCTGTATGTCTTATTTCCTGCTTCCTCCAGTGTCTGTCTGTCTGGCGGCTGCCTGGCTTCTGGCCCCAGGCATGTCCCTCTCTTTCTCCCTCATTCTCTCTTCTCTAGCCTACGTTTCTCCTCCTATTTATTCTCTCTGCCTGCCAGCCCTACCTGTTTCTCTCTCCTGCCTAATATTGACCTCTCAGCTTTTTTATTAGACCAATTGAGTGCCTTAGGCAGGCATGGTGAAACAGTAACACATCTTTTCATAATTAAATAAATGCAGCATAAACAAAAGTAACACATCTTTACGTCATTAACAAAGGCAGCAGAAACAAATGAAACACACCTTTACACAGTTAAAGTAATGTTCCACAGCATAAACAAATGTAACACATCTTTACATATTTAAATATTCCACAACAACTAGAGGGCGGGTTTTCAGAGTTTATAACCTTGCTCCACTTCCGGTTCAGTTTCTCTTTACTTTCTGTGTGGGGCTGGAGATGTGACATGTCGCCTTCCAGATCTGACTGCTAGCTGTCACGCCTCCCTTAAGACTTCCCCAGCCATCATAGACTCTCCGCTGGAACCATAAACCAAGATAAACTCTCCCATAAGTCACTTCGGTCAACAAAAAGTAACAATACAGAAGTCTGGACTAGGGGGAATGGGGATGTTGCTGTGAAGAGCCTCACTATTGTTTTCTGGAGGAACGTCGGATACTTTAGAAGTCTGAACTAGAAAAGCGACTGGATGCTGTAGGCAGAGCTTAACAGGTCCTTCTAACAGGAGCCTAATGACAGATTTGCTGAGAGTAAATGTAGATGGTAGAGACCAGGCTCACAATGTTTCCAAGGGAAACAAGGACCATAACAGCAACTGGGGTAGAGGCCACTTTTGTGATATTTTGGCGAAGAATCTAGCTGCCTTCTGATCCTGTGCTAAGAATTTAGGTGAGGCTGAATTAAAAAGTAATGAATACCAATCTTTTACATAAAATGATGTGGTACAACATAGTCCTATGTCCTTTAACTTGTCTACCTAAGCCAGCTGGGGTGCTGCATGACTCTAATCCCAGTGGTTGGAAGGCTGAGGCAAGAGGATCATACATGAGTTCTAGGCCAGCACCAATCTCAGAGTGAGACCCTGTCTCAGCACAAAAGTAGGAAAACCAAAAATAAAAACACAGGGGCTCATCTCTAGATCACTAACGTGCTGTAATTGCTATGGGAATCCTTGGTGTTGCATTGTTTAAGGAACAATGAGAAGGGAAATGAAGGTTAGCACATGCTCAGTACAGATGAAATTTGTGTGTGTGGTATGCGTGCTTGCCACAGGATGCTTGTGGATGTCAGGGCAGCTTTGGGTGTCGGTCCTCATCTTCTACCTTGTTTAAGGCAAGGTCTCTTGTTTACTGATGTGTATGTCAGGCTATCTGCCCTGTTAGCTCTTCAGGATTCTCCGGTCTCCACCCTCCATCTCACCATCTGAGTGTTGGGATGACAGATGCATGCTATCATGTTCTGCTCTAAGTGGGTTCTGAGGACCCATGTCAGGTCTCATACCTGGACAGTAAGCACTTTACTCACCCACTAAGTCATTTCCCCAGCCCCCCCCTTTTCCTCTAGTATGTTCCACTTGCTGAGTCTGAGGATCTACAGGACTGAGTGTATATGTGAAAATGTAAGTAGTGGAATATCTGTTGTGAGCCGGCAGTTCCGAAGGCAGTGGTGTCGAGAGAACCAAGGCTGGCAGAACTATCACATGGCTTCAGAGCCTGGTGGAGAAAAGACTCAGGACGGAGGCCCATGTGTTGATATGAACGGAGATTGAACGGATAGGAAAGAAATGAATTAAATCAGTTCTGCTTGCTGGGGAAATCCACAGGCCCACAGAGCCACGTAAACTACATCCACACAGACGAAAGAGCATCACAGAGCCCTGTCCTTCAGTCTCCCAAAAGGGGTGATGTTCCC